GTCTGTCAAGACTTGTCTTCAGTGGCACAGAGATGTTCTTCTATTTGCTTAACTTCTTGACATAAACTCTAGAAAAGATTAAATATAAAAAGGACAGTTTAGCACCGGTTAAAATGAATTTTTTTTTCTCAATCAGTTGCATGGTAGGGTAGAACCTATAAAACCTTGTCTTTATTGGGGAGTTGTACTGAGGGCACTTGCCTATGTGGTGCTCTGTACACTGTCTTTTGCTGTGAAGACAAAAATGACGCAATGTATACAAGTAGAATACAAAAGAAGAAGGGACGAAAAGGCAAGGTATGGTTTATTCCCTAACTATGTTGTAAATACATGATCTTACTGAGACAAAAATATTTTGGAAAGGACAGTGAAAACCCGCAGATGTAATTGTGGCAATCAATGATCTCACATCAGCATTTTCTAGCTAACAGTTGCTGAATATGACCTACACATGTTGTGACTTGTGTAAATAATTTTTAGGTTAACTTGTCCTATTCATAATTTGTGGCTGGAAAAAAAAAAGCCTGCACTCCTCCTTTCCCTTAGTCTCCTCTTTCTTCTTCACAAATACTTTTGTGTTTGGAAAACCAATTTTTTAAAACACAGTCATCTCTACGTGTTTTATAGAGTACAATATGCTAGCAAATCAACAGGCAATTTTATAGGAAAATGTTATTTTTATACAGTGCAGTGGTATTCGTGGCTTCTCAGACTGTCACTTGATGCTTTAATTCAGTTTTTCTTACTTTTTGTTTTTATTACTTAATAAAAAGATACCCTATCAAAATTTATTTGTTGGAATGCCATCAAAGTACTTTTTATTTGCAACATTTTCACTAGTTTATAAATATTATCATATGAAAGCCTATTTTGCATTTATGTCAGTAGATCCTGGTATCCAGCTTTAGTGTTCTATTTTATGGGGTTTTCTACCTTCACAGGTGTGCCAGTTCCTGGAAAAACAAATACAAAGGCAGGTCCTTGCCCTGTTATACGTCTTCAGCAAGAGAGGACAGTAAGGAAAGGAGTTCACAGCTAAGTGGTTGCATACATTCTGCTCAGAGCAACCACAGTAATTTTGATACTGTTTTAACTTTTTAATACATATTTCACCTGTGAAATTTTAAACTGATAAATCTTTTTCATGAAATGATAGGAGGGTACTGTGTGTTAAGCTGAAGTCTCTGGCCCCTGCCATTTCATGAATAAAAAGTGACAAGTAACCTTTTGCCTCACTCAATAACATGATTAATCACAACAGTGATTTACCAATTTCATGTGTCTTTATCTACATCAGTGTTCCCTGTAGTAACGTGCTGTATCAGTCAGTGAGAAATGCAGTGCAGATACTGGACAGGAATGCAGTTTCCAACCAAAATGCATTCCACCTAGAAGTAGCTTTTAGGGCAATTTAGGGTTATTATTAAATATTATAGCTTTATTCATGTATTTGTTGCCAAGAGCGGCAACAAACTGCATGAACGACATTTGTTGGTCATGAACAGCTTATATAAGAATGGTGTAATGATTGTGAGTGGATTTCAGCAAGGGGGTCAGAATCACTCCAGTCTCTTTCTGCTACACAGCACCTAATATCATCTCTATTTGCAAATTCAGTACAATGACTCACAAGGACAGGAAGCCATAAACAAGAACGTAAAAAGGGAGGGCCCCTGGAACATACTGGGAAAGTATTAGGAATTACCATCTCATTCCTGTTGTGATGTCAGTCCTAAGGATTACATTAGTAGTATCATTAGTAATAGTAAAGTATATCTCCAGATATGCAGAGCATCCAGAAGACAGACAACATAACGTGTACAAGAGTTCATTCTGCCAGAACTTAAAGCCTAAGTAAACAAGTGGTAGAGATGGTATGTGCAGATGCATACAGAGAGTTGGGAATAGAACCCACATCACCTAAGTCCCTTTTCCCTAATGTAGACTCCGTATGGCTTTCATTCATCAGAGTTTATGTACAGAGTTCTGTGTTTGGAATAAAATCCACCAAAATTAACAGGTAGGGAGAATTTTGATGATTTTGCCTCATCTCCAACATATCTTAAACCTCTGGGTGTGTGGGTTTGGGTTCATCTTGTGTAGCTTTGGAAGTCTACACTGCAGTGGATTCTCCTAGTACATTGTTCATCAGGTCAGGTTTAGATGGTTGCTTTTATGCAACTCATGTTACTACAGCAACTTGGTTAAAGTAGAGTCTAGAAAACTACTGCAGATGTAGAAGCCAATACAATAGATACCTAAAGACTGGTAAGAGGTATTCATCTCCAGTGCTAATTGCCATGTCTAGAGCTTCAAAACAGCTCTCCATAGGGAGTCCTTGTATAGTACACATTTTAGGTACTTAGCACCTTTATATTTTGGGTATGGGTAAGGAGGTGAGTAAGCTTCACTTAAATCTCCTGAGGGTCCTGATCCATTAATTGTGCTCTTGATTTCACATGTTACAGATGGCCAACATAAGCACAACTATCATAATTTTCTTTTTTAAAAGTGCTGGTGAAGAGAGCATTTGAGCTTAGTTTAAACACTCTGGATACTCTGGTGACAAGTAAGTAGTTTTTAGGATTTATGATACTTTTTTTTCTCATTCCAGTAGATACACATCAACATGGTATATACATCAATATGAAAATACATGAATAGTTAGATACACCATTGCATCTATTAGTCTGGTTCCACTTTGTAGCCTTGAGTCTTTGTCTTCAGGACAGAATAATTACCATAATAATTCTAAGAAAAAATACTGTTGAAAGTTATGGGGAAGGGGTCCATCTATAAGGAACAGTAACTGGTTCCTAGTGTTACAAGGTGTATTGAGGTGTATCTGTTATCTTAAATTTTCTTATAATAATAGCTGAGAGTATCTGCTTGGTTTAAAGAGAAGGCAGTGCAGTGGTCCTGTTACTCAGCAGTCTTGAGGACTAGCTGTGTGTGAATAGCAGTGATTTAACATTAGTTTCTAAATAATGCCATATTTCTTTATAAGGAGCTTTTTAAAACTTTAGAAGTTTGAGAATCCAGAAAGCTCATTTTTAATGTCCTCATCCTGCTCTTTTTCTAAATGATTTCAATGGTATTGATAATAAATTTGATTTTAGTCATTATTGGCCAGACCTATAGGATGTTTTGCTGAATTCTGTATGAGCGTACATCCATACGTGTACGTGTGTGTTCCCCCATGCACTTAGTACAGCATTTGAATGAGTGCTGATGTATGTAAACCATTGTCCTCTGTATAAAGAGAATTCAAAGCCTAGATGAGTGGAATCCTTTTCTATAAAAGCAGCCTATTTAAATCCAATTAGTGTATCTTGTTGTTCCTATGGTTATGCAAATAGATTGAACTTTTATCTTAAACAATGCCTTGCACAAAGTGATGTTGAGATTGGATCACTCGTAGAACCTAAGCACTATTAAGTGATCATTATTTATCATGCAATATAATGTGTTTTATTGATGTGTGTGGTGTGGTAGGTATACATGCTTCTTCCTTTTAATGTGTGGGCCCAGTATTAGCCAGTGAGAGCAATGTGTTATGTAAAAAGTAAGAAGAATCTATTAAAAATGCCTACTGTATTATCCAAAGGAATTAGCATTCGCTAGATTGCCAGTCAGCCAAGGTTTTACAAGAGTTATTGTCATTTTGATTTTTGGATGAGTCATTTGGTACATTGCCCCCAAAGGCACCTCATTATGATTCAGTGCACAGCATATAAAATTGCTTAGGCTTTTGGGACTCCATGCAAAGTGAGTGGGGGTTGTGGTGGCTCAGCGTTGTGAAGCAGCAGTATTATGCTTAATTGACACCTTTGATGTAGCCCTAAGACAGCACCTGCACCTCCCACTGCTGCTCTGAAGACGTCAGCCTTACGCAGAAAAGGCTTCTGCTTATGAATCCTGCATCGCATTCAGCTCACTCTGTAAGCAGCCCCAGCTATCCTTAACTAATCCCATTGCTTCTCAGTTTGGCTATAGCTCGGCTTAGTACAGAGTAGGAATTTTGCTGCTTGCTGTTATCAGGTTAAACACTAGGATTTTTTCCATGTTAGAGCTGATAGAAGGTAAGTCAAATGCCTTATTGATATCCTAATTATGTAAATATTCTCCTAAGATTCAGAATGTGGGATTCTGATTGTTGATTCTTTTTATCCTGATGCTTGCAAATGGGGACTGTGATATAACAGTTACTTGTTTAAGAATATTTACATGTATGTGTGATACACGCTTTGTAGTGTTTCTATCAGTGCTTCAGTGTGAATATTGATAGCCGCTCGTGTGATTACTTTGTAGTAGAATTCTGTCCTCTGCTGGTATTGTTTTGTTAATTTACTGGATAATGTCATATGCATGCGAAGATGCTTCTAAAAAGATAGGCACTGAGATATATAAAGAAACTTACTTATTTGAGAAAGCAATACTTTCCTGTAGGTCAGACTGGAGGAGTTATATCCAATTTACTTGCCTCTAGAAAGCCCTTCTGGGATAAGTCTAAGGTAATGTTTGGGTCAGATAGTATTGCAAAAATCTCTTTAAATGAATGAGTGAGGAAAAACAAGCAGCTGATTTGTTCTTGCAAGCAATACTGTATTTTATTTTTAGTGGGTAGCACTTCAAACCATAGCTAAATGGAATGAAAAGGTTTACATTTCGCAAGTGTCTTTTAAGGTTAACAAAGCATCTCGTTCCCCACCACTTTCAAGTACAGGAACAATGCAATTTAAGAAAACACAGTCATGTTCTCTGCCATTGACTAAAGTCTTTTCAGGTTTGTGAATTATTTGCTTTCACTCTGTATAAAAATTGTCTTCATGAGCTAAAACTCTAAGGAAACAGTTATTTTGTGAATTGCCTTGTTTAATGGTTAAAACATTAAGCAAAAGTGAATTAATCTGTTCAACAAAAAATGCAAAAAAAATGTTTCTTTTTTGGTTCCTTTAATAATGCCTTGTATTTATTTTTTCGATTTCTCGTCCTTCTAGTAAATGGAACCCCTGGTAGCCAGCTTTCTACTCCCCGCTCTGGGAAGTCTCCAAGCCCATCTCCCACCAGCCCAGGAAGCCTACGGAAACAGAGGGTAAGGAAATAAGGAAACTGATTTCTGAGCATGACTGGAGAGAATCCAACTTAGCCATTATCCAATAGCCTTCTCCCCTCTGATTCCTTGTGTGTGTGTGTGTAGAGCCATAGGGTGGAAGAGCCTTGCTGTACAGTCCTTGATGTGTTTGTAAAACACTACAGTGGAATACAACTGTTCTGTGTCTGTCAAAATACTAAGTATGCTGGGAATTGGTTTATCCTTGAGGGGAAAAACAGGGGTTGTCGCTTTCCTTTTTTAAAGATTTTTTGTTTGTTTGTTTTACTTTCTTTTTCCAAACATTTCACAACTGGAAGGAAGTGTTCACATTGTCAAAGTTTCTCCCAACTACCATTGTGTCACTTGCACAACCTTCAAACAGCTTTGATTTTGAAACAAGGTGGAAGAATGCACTGTGGAATTTAGTTGTTATATCAAAGACTTGTGCAGTGAAGATACTATCAGTAGCAAGGAAACGTGAGATCTGTCAGTCACTTTCCTGGATGAGAGTTGGTAGTAGCTGTGGGTTCCCTCTAGTTATCATGTATGGAGGCATCTACAATATTCCTAAGCATCCAGAATTAAGGTAGTACCTGTATTACTATTGGAACCTTCTGATAAAATATCACTCTTTCAACCCAAAAGGCTCCATGTGCTGATTTAATGAATTGTATCTGTTCAAAAGCAGTAGGGCAGATGTCTATGTATCTTCTCTTCTGCTATTTTCTAAACTGTAATTGGTTCTCCATGAAAGCTTCCCTAAGGCAGTACTCTGTATCTCAGATCTGTTTATAAACACAGTTTGAACACATGCTTTTTCTGCCTTTTCAGTTTTTAAATCAAGACATAATTCGTGTCTCTCAAAATAAGGGGATTACATACAAAATTGGCAGTGCTTGACTTTGGGGACCAGTGCAGACCTGATTCCCCAGATATCCAGATCAGGAATAGCTGTAGTACAAATGACTCCCTTCTAGCCTGCAGACCCTTCTTCATGTCTGATATATACCAGGGAGCTGAGGAATTGTGCGTGCCCAAGTCTTACCTGCAGCTAGGATACAGCTCTGGGTTTCTGCTGTGACTTGTTTATAGCTATGGAAGCTGACTATGATCTTGCAGTATAGAGGTAGTCAGTGAGTGGCAGCTTGAAACCTCAGGGTAGTGTCATGGTTTTCATCATCTCATACACAGAGAGTAAAGATACAAGTTCCAGTTGGGTAAGCTGGTACTAAAATCTCCTTAAGTGTAATGTCTTCCACACCTGCTTGTTCTTACTCTCAAGCTTATAATGAATCATAAATAAGTCACTGAAGAGGGAACAAAGAGTCTTCCAAATGAATTATACATTGGTGATGTGAGGGCGTCTACTTAAATGGATGATACCAGTATACACTGGATTTGCATTTGCTGTAAGGCTGTTGCTTTTCATTGGTAACTTTCCTAAGCTTTCTTTCTCACCACTGATGCTTCTCTCTTCACAGTGAAGAAATGTTTATCTGTTAATGTTTGTGGATGTGTGAGTGGAATCCATGTGGTCAGCACCATTAGACATGAGGGGTTTCTAGCCACATGGTTTCTGACTTTCAAATGTGAAGAGGAGAACAGATGGGCTTCTTTTTACTTGTAAGTGTAACAAGATCACCTAGTGGCAGTATTTGTAAAAGGCTGTGTAATAGTAACATAATCAGATTGCTAACCGTATAGAAAATAAATATTGAAGCAAACTATAGGAGAGATAAGACATTGTTAAAGAGTTGAATTCCATTCTCGGATATTCATATTCAGTCCCCATGACCTCAGAAAATAGATTGCAATCATGTAAAATGCATTGCAATAATATTATTTAGGTTACAAAATCAACTTCTCTGAAGTTCAGTGATGGAAACTTTACACTTGGTCTGAGAATTTATTTCATCTGCTTTCATGTTTAACTTGCAAAGTGAATGAACTAGAAGTTCAGTGTAAAAATATATAGTTGTGTCATTAAAGGTTATAATTTTAATATAAAAACATAATAAACCCCCATAAATGAAATAACATAATATAACATATAATATAAATAATATAATTATAAAGGTTATAAATTCCAACTAGTAAAATAGGCATTAAACAGTGCTTACTAGTCATAATTTTATTGTTAGCAGTATAAATTATGTTCTGTTTACTTTAAGTACCATATTTTGTGTGTTGCCATTTAAATTTTATTTAAAGGACAGGTTATTTTATGTACCATATTGTCATAAATCAAATTTGAACCCAAAGTGTTTTGCTTTGTCTTCATTGGCTTCAGCTACAGGGCTGACAAACCAGCTACAGGAGGAGGTTTATTCCCTAGGAGGTTGTTAAATGCTGGTATCATCTGATAGACATAGAGGAGAGGAGATTGATTTGAGTGCCCATCTTGTTCACAGTGTTGAGAGGTGAGGTATTCCTGCCTCAAAAGAAGAGTGTTGGCTGCTAGAGCCACAGTCTGGGGTTGAGGGTGATGGCTGGGCTTCTGACTGGTCTGGCTTTCTCTCTTTACCTGGAGTTTGAGGGAGCTACTACTTTAGAACTGAAATAATTAATCTCAGCTGTGTAATTTGGGTTTTCCTTCACCTCTCTCTGTGCAGTTAGAGTAGTGCTTATTCCCTCATGTCATCAGGTATGTGGGCTGCCGGTGGTAGGTACTGGGTCTGGAAGGCGATAGGGAACATTTACTCAAGCATAACCTGGTTCCCCTTGACATAACTAATCAATCAACTCTTCAGCATCCCCATCCAAGTGGTATGGGGGAGTTTAGGCTTGGTACGTCACAATGCTGAGGAGTCTAGGCAGGCTACCAGTGTTTTTCCTGGGAAGTACAGGTGAGAAGAAGTCATGCTTTTGAATTCAGAGGCACAGAAGCAAGAAAATTTCACAAACTGAGGAATTTCTCCCTGAGAATAGTAAAGACCTGTAGAGTGCATTAAGCAACTTAAAACAGGGATTAATCAGCTTACTTACTGACATTTCATCACTCACCTTTTTAAAAAAATAAATACTGGCCTTTGATGGAAGGCTTTCCATTGATATAAATAAAGCCAAAAATGCTGCTGTGGTACATACTCATGAAAACAGTACTCTTGTAATCCTACAGGTAAAATTTTCTACCCTCAGAAGTGAGACTATAAAAAGAAAAAGTTTATTCTTTCTCTCTTGCATATGTATGTGGATGAGTTGTTTCCAGAAATTCAGAAATCAGGGAATGATATTTTTTTATAGTCTTGTGTGAAGTTCAGTCTATATTTGAGGAAAGTAAGACTTGAAAGATTAATTTCACGGGTGTAAAACATGGAGTTGAAAGTGAACTAGGAACAATTTATCAGCTATCTGAGCTAACTATCAACCAGTTTTCAGTTTCTGAGTATTTTAACTAGCAGGCTGTGTGCTATAGTTATGCTTTCTTGTAGTTTAACTATTCTTTATATGTACTCTTAAGTAAGAAATTAAGATTCTTGTTTTAAATTGGTATGTACATAATTATGTTTTTTTACAGAGGCTTAAAACATTTGAAATTCAGGTTTTTAGCACTTGAAGTAGAGTTATTGTATTGCACACATATGTATTTCCAACAGTGCAGTTAATGAGGCAGACTCAGAAAAGGTGACATGGCAATTACAAAAATAAATATACATAATTCCAACCCCTGCGTTTTATTTAACTAGCTTTTGTAATAGTTTCTGAGCTTTTTTTCCCACTGTCTTGTAATCAGTTACTATTTCAATTAAGGTGGACATATTTTATACTTTGTACCTGATTTTCTGTTTCTTGTCATTGTTTTCAATATTTTTCTACTTCCTTAGAGTTTACCACCTATAGGATAATAAAAAATTAGATTTAAGACACCTTTTGACTATTCAGACAAATAACTTGAATTCTACATATATAGGGGTTTTTTTGGTTGTATATGGCAAGAAGTCTGATTCATTCAACAATTTTTTTCTTTTTATAAATCTATGCAAAATAATAAATAGATTTTCCTCCTATTTTCCAGAAATACAGCTCTTTGGCCAACTGTAGGCAAAAAAATTCTTTCAGAAAAGAAAACTTTTAAAAGTTTCAAATATTTAAAAGAAGATAAAAAAAAAGAGAAAATGACACTGAAATCTTGTGCATGGTTTTGCTTTTAAACAACCATAGAATTATAAAAATAAACATAAAAATATTCTCTAAATGTTAAAAGTCAGAAATCTCTTCTTTGTCAGTTCTCAATGCATATCTTTTTATATTCAGAGGCAAGGACCTGGGAGATACTATTCAAAAGTTTGGGGTGCTACCCTCTCTAGCAAATCAAAAGATTTTTTTTCTGTACTGTATATTAGAAATTCTCAAATTGTATATGCTCAAAAGAAATTTTAATAATTAACCAACTAATTAGTATTCAGAAGAAGATGGTCTTGTCTGTTTAAAATTCTTCTCTTGTCTGGATTGTTCTTAGCAAAATAGAAATGTATTTAAAATCTAATTTTCACTCTGCCAGTCTAACGTATTTTCTACTGTGTGTGTGCACACCCATTGGCAGAATACATACAGAATAAGCATTCTAGGGAATCAAAACCCCCTTTAAGGAACTTAAATCCCTTTTACATCATGCCTGCAAATAAAACATAAACATGCATAGATTATTGAGACCCTTGTAAATTTGAAATTTGTGAAGCATTCATTTTAGCTGCTACTTGTTTTTTAGTATAGCTTTCAGATTTGTTCATTTCTTGTCTCAGTTATCTTCCTGCAATTAAAAAAACCCAATCAAAACCAACTAAGGTCAACCTTAAAGCTGGCTCCATCAGCGTTCCCATTCTCATGTGTTCTTGTATTTTGTCTTACAGGGTTTTTTGTTGTATTTTGTTCATATGTTCTATTTTGAAAGGATCCCCCAAAACACCTAAAAATATCAGAGAATGCCTATGAGATGTGCTGGGCACCTGCCTATTCAGAACCACTCTGAACCATCAGTTATGCCTAATTCACCTTAAAAAGACAGTACCCTGTCCTCTACCACTTCTCTTTTCTGAACTTCCTCTTTCATTCTGTGCTGTAGTGTGTCTTGACAAGGATTGTTGTGATGTGTAGGTGGGATAGGGCAATATATCATAGCCTAACACCGCTGGCATTTGAGGATTATCTGATCCATCAGAGGATGCTTGGAGTGTGTGTTGAAAGAATGAAGTGAATCTGTACACTCAGACTCTCCCTCTGCTGTCATAAGCTGGTTGCTTGGCTACCATCAGAAAGAGACCATGACAGGGGGATAAATGTAAAATACACTATCTTTTTATACATACACACTGACACAGAAAAAATGTGGAAAAGAGACACCATTTGTCAGTACGATATAGGTAACAGCAATGTTCAGTGCCAGCATTCCGGGGCTCAAATGTTGGATCTATGCTATATCACCAGTGGGTGTCAAGTTTTTATTACCTTATAACACTTATTTTACTACTGCTGTTTACAAAACAGCAAAAAGGAAAATACATTCCCTTTAAGGTTAAATTCATATTTCCAAGTTTCCAAACCATCAGGAGACTCTCCAGAACAGACAAATATTGTTTTAATAGTGTTTAATTGGACAGAATTAAAGAAAAAATAATCGCCTCATAGAATATGTTGTACATTGAAACTTCAGCTTTATTTACTAACCGTCTATTTGTTGATTAAAAAATAATAATATGACATTAAGACAAAAATATGTGTATATAGAACATGTGTATTTTATGTTAAACAATGTCTTCTGGTCCACAGTAACCAAAAGAATATAAGACAGTTACAGTGCAACAAATCAAACACAATAAACAAATCTATACTGCCCTTCATCTTACAGGACCTGTATCGCCCACTCTCTTCGGATGATATGGATTCAGTAGGAGACTCAGTGTAAAAGAGAAAATGGAACAATGTTTATGGTTTGTGATTTGATGAAGGTTTAACATTTTTAAAGAAAATAGCTGCTAATTTACAGTAATAGTGAATCGCACAAAAGAGTTTTGCATATTTAATATTAACAACATGGGGCCAAATTAATTCCAGTCTGTGGGGGTATTTTTGGCTTTACCACTGCATTTTAATGCAAGAATTTGTAATGAATGAGCCATTGAATATGTCCGTCAAATCCAGAACAGCATTGTGCACACTTTAAGGAAGAAGGTGAATATAACGCACAAATCCATAGTGGGCACAGTTATGAATAGGGCTATTTTTATCATCTAAGGTACTGATTATATGTTCTGTTTTTACCATAGGTATCTTTATTCATTTTGGTATGAACAGTTAATGAATACTTTGCTTTTACTAACGAATAGGTAAAATGCAGAAAAGAAAAAACCTGCCATATTAAACTGCTTGCACCACGCTGTCTGATCTCAACATGCACATTTGGAACACTCTAAGTTTAGTCTTTTTATCTAAATGAAAAGAAAGTGAAGAAATCCTGTGTGGTAACAGGACAAAAGTAAATGCTTTCAAAGCAGCGTTCAAATTCTCTTCACTGCCTTACCATCTGATAACTGTAAACAGAAGGGTGTTCACAGGCAATATGAATGTTTTACCTGGCAAGAGCTGTTAATGCTGATCATCCATGTGTTGCAAGTAAATATGGACATATTTCTGATCGAGAAAGTATGGGGCCCTGATTGCTAGCAGTGTCATCTGACATACATATACACCTTTCGGGGAAATACATTTTGCCTGAGAAACTAGTGATTATTTTCCCTTATGTTAAAAATGGGAGCATGATTTTGTATTTGCTATAATAAGACATTTTATGCATTTTAAAATGAAAGCCTATAGAAATGGTGGTATTATAAATCATCCTCCTATTGACCTAATTCCTGCGCTTTCACAATTTCTAGAGGTGGTCATTTTGTACAGCATGAATATGCAAAACTCCTTTAGTGTTAAAGTAGGTCACGCATTATAACCAGTTGCTTAACAAATACCTACTAATTTTTATTTGTTTTCTGCTGCTTTATTGTGAGAATCTTAGTCTACTTAATTTATGTAATAATAGCAATATTTTCCATTGTATGTTATATTTAAGCCCATAGTGTAGTGATCATACAAGTTTGCAGTCTTATACCTTTCCTTCCATTTTCTCAAATACTAATGATTTAAGAATTAGAAATCAGTGTAATTCTGACTCTCAACAAAAATCTATAGAGATTATATTTTTGAGCTACTTAGTGATGATTTAATATATTTTGAAATCAGGAAAATTTACTTAATTGCAGAAAATGCTTAACTACCACATGCCAACTTTTAAATGTAGTTAAATAATTCCTCTACGCTGATTTAATAAAATAAAATAATAAAATTCAGTGGATGGAAAATATTGGCATGTGATGTTATGGCTTCACTATATCAATACAATTTTATTTGTGGAGGATATTTGCAAAGAGAAATAAAAGGGCAGCAGAATACAAAACTTACCTTCTCTGTTTTCAACACTTAATTCCAGTATCACCTGAAGAGAAAATCATTGATCTGGCAGGTTTGTTGGAGCAGTTAGGTCATTCCTTTTTGAAATGCATGTTTTGTCATTCCTGCTTCAGACTTCAACCTAAAACTGTTCCCAGCCATGAGAACAGTACGTCCCCTGCCCCATACCTTAATCCTAAGGTTGTTCTGTTCTACTGCAAAAGTTCATAGCTGTGAAGTTACTTGCATTTTCAGCTGTTGCGAGGGTATGTCTTTATAAAATGTTTTATTGATCCCAAGAAATGCATATTATGTAAAGGTGTATTGGGATCAGTTTCCAAAACTTCAGGCAACTCCAACAGATTGAATGAAATACGTACTGATGGTTTGAAAATTGTTTTTTCCTGCAAAGAAAATAAATTCCAGGAATTTTGTTTTTCCTCCCCTCTCCCATATAGGCTGCTGCTGCTTAAGGCAGTTTATTAAGAATGTTTGTTCTGCACAGGGAGCACAGATTGCCAGCAAACCTGAATCCCATGGCTTTGCTTAGCTGTGGAAAAGAAAAATGGACCTTATATCAGTAATTGTTATCATAGCGAGTTCTCCATCAAGACTGTTTTAAAAAAGAATATGCTAGTCCATAGCATTTAATCATTTCAACATATGACTTATATTAAGGGGCTATTCAGGGGCAATACGTATCATTAATATTTCATTTAAGGAATTAAAGTCCCTTGGAGATTGAAAAGGTACACTGTTTATAGACTTTGAGATCCTTTTTGTGTGGAATGTAATTCCCATTATACATGAGCAGAAATGAAATGTTTCTTTTGAGCAAGACCAGAAGGTTTCACTTTATGGGTGAAACTGAAATTGTGTTTCTTGATGCTGTAGTTCTACTTGCAACAGCACAGGTTTTAGTTTGTCCCTAGATTTCATCAACTGCATTGAATAACAGAATACCTTAAGCAACTTTATAGTGTTTGAACCTCTGATAGTTCTCTATGCTGCATTATTTGTGCCTACTCTAAGGTGATTATGATGTAGCTAAAGAGTCTTGTATAGATTGTGAATGCTTTGCTTCTCTTTGAGCTTTATGAATACTTGTGATTATTTCCCTAATGCTTTCTGCAACTTTCTGTTTTGGTTTTTTAAAATCTCTTTACTTCTTTTATGCAACAAGCAGTTCACGTGTGAAGCACAGAATGTGTGTGTTTATATTTACGTACACACTTATATAGATTAATGGCTTTGAAATCCATGTGCAGTTATGTCACATTCGTGGCTTTAAACAAATAAGTGGGGAAAATGTTGCTAATGGGAGGACGCTCATCTAGTGGGATTCACTACAGCTCTGTTAAAGTCAGTGGAGCTGCACCAACCAGTACCTGCTGAGCAGCTCTCTTGAAGAAGTCTGTACAATTTTAAAAGATCACATCTACAGAAAAGAGCTAAGTTCAAACTGAGCAGAAGTTGGTGGCAAAACCGCCATTGACTCCGAGGTAGGAAGGATAGGACCTTATGCACAAATACACACACACAGACAAAACATTAATCCTAAATTTGAAAAGGTATTATTTTGACATGTTCAGTCTTATGCCTCCTCTTGAACCACATTGTTCTGCAGTATATTAAGTCATGCAACATTAGAATTTCTTTTGTTAAAATCAGTAAATCTTTAACATTCATTATGCAATGTGAAAATTGCTTTCCAGTTTGTAAAATAATTCAGCAACAACACATTATATTTAGTTATTTTTCTCTTCAAACCACTTTTGCAGGGCATATTTAGCTGAAAGATGAAAATTCTGGGGTGTTAATATTGTGGCTATAAATGTATATTATAAGAAAGTATATATGGTATTCAACAGCCTTGGAGAACAACTGGGGTGAGATTGTGTGGCATAACAATTGAGATAAATAATAGTGTTTTCTTTTGCAGTTTCAAAATCCAGACTGCAGTGTGAACTTTATATAGTGCAGCATGGTACAAAAATGTCTGCACTCTGAATGTTAAAATGAATTAACAATAATATAGAAAAGAACCTCTGATCAACCCAAGTTTACTGTTTTGTCAAAAATAGTAGGGAAATGAACAGACAAAAAAATCTTCATGGTGCTAAATTACCTCATTACTTGATGAATACTTAGATTAATGTTATCTGTGCTTTTTCTTGTATCCAATTAATAGAGTGCAACAGAGTACAAGATTGTTCTTTATTTAATCTTCACTTTCAGTTTTATCTGTTAGTGACAGGATGAGAGCTTGTAACTATGAGTGATGAAAAATATCGTTATGTAACACAGCCAGCAGTAAGTAGCCTTACATGCAGAGCAAAGCAAGCAAGTGGTTATCACACTCTTTGGAAATGGGTGTGCTGTACCCAGGAAACCCCTCCATTCAGAAAGCAGGGGTTGCTGAGCAGACCAGGGACTATTCTGAGCTGTGTTTGCTGTCATAACGTGATTCCTCTGGCTCAGTTTGCTTCTTTTCACCTGGGACCTGATCTCAGACAGGCTGAGCGCCCTAACTCCCTGCAGAAGGCAATGGGTATGTAGATATATGTGTTGTGTACGCACACATTAGCAAAGAGTGGAAAACACACACAGTGCACACATACATATTCGTATGCATTTTAGTATCTGTATTTGCCCATGTTCATTATATTTGAATTTGCTTAAATTAACCCTCAGCAGTGAAGTATGAAAAAAGCTGTACTGTATTCAGTGTGTACTTGTTGTCTGATGTTATATGGGGTAATTAGCTTGTAGTTTGCCCTGCAATACAGTGTTTTGGAATTTGGACTCTAGTGAAAGAGGAGCTAACAATGTTTGTGCTAAGGCCTCTTCATTTTCTTAGTTGCACTATAATATTGTAAATATTGGCACATTTGCAACGTAAGTTTAAGATTTTACGAAGTTATGCATACAATTATTTTTTTTAATGAAAAGTGCTTGGATATTTGCTTTTAAAAATGTACCATTTTTGTATTAATGTGATGCAGGAAACCAAAAAGAAAGCTGTTGATTTATCAACAAAAAAATGTAAAACTTGCAAAAATAAATGCTGATAAATGTTTTATTTCTTATAATCAGCTGAAGAAAATCACCTTCATTTTTGTGCCATTGTTTCATCATACTGTATTGTACTTGTGTTTCATATTTGACCATGTCATCCTGGTTTCAATTTGTTGTTTCACTAGATTTAACATTACTGTAGGTTATTGTAAGTGATGTAATAAATATATTTAAAAAATACACACTGTTCAGTGAGTTTGTTTTTGAACCAGATTAACAGGCTTTAGAAAAATTCTTGCAGCTGGTATTACTTTTTGATTTTGGATCAGCATTATCCATCTAACCTTAGAATAAGTATATGGGATTCATGCATCATGTTCCTTTAAACAGTAGATGTATTCAGTGTCTTTTTTAATAATAAACTCTGGTCTCTGGTATACAGATACAAAAAATCCTTCAAGGAAGAATTTGGTTTCTAGTGGGTCTTTTTGAGACAGTAAATATACCTGCCTTGAATTGCTTATGGGTAAGTTTGTGTGCACATGAGGAGGTAGATTTGAAGTGTGAAGTGTGGGGTTAGTAGACTATCCAAAGCAAGGTACCAGGTCCCTACTTGACAGCTCAGCTACAGCAGCACTCCCCTTCAGAAAAGTATTAGTAAAATATGCTTGTGAAAAGCTAATAGTACTGAAACATAGCAGCAGTGTTTTAAAATAAGTACCTCATTTTCTTGATATATTTTTCCACTCTTTAAAAATAGATATCCATAGCCTAGTTTTATTTCTTGTTTGACAGGGGCAGGGGAAGAGAGATGTTACAATTTCTGACATGTCATCTGCCGGCTTAATGCTTCAGCCGATGTTCAGACGCTCTCCTGGAGGGATCTGTGGGCCTTATAAAAGTTCTAGTTTTGAAATCCTCTTGTTTGGTAGTAAATAGGTCTGCCTAAAAAAGGTTTACAGACATAGAAAGGAAACAGTACTAGAGAAATGAGGAAGACTAGAAACAAAATAATTGAGGTTTCTGTCTCTACCAAGAAAGAGATAATACCAGGAGGGCTTTTAAGATATAACTCAAATAGATTAAAAGTGGTAATTGTGCTGTGCCCTTAATTAGGTGGAAGAAATAAGAACCTGTTTTGATGGCCTTTCAATATGTATTCTGTAGTTGACTGGAAAATTTTACCTCTAGATAACTTCAGAAGAGGTAAAAGGAAACCTTCACTTTGCATCACTGCACATGTAACTTTTATTGTTAACCACAGTGAGGATACAGTAATAACTTCCAATACCATGAATCTGATACTCCCCCCCTTTTTTTTAATTTAAATATCATTAATCTTTTCTGAATGATGCCAAAGGCTGAGTGAACCTATACTCTGAATTACAGCTCAGCTTTCGAAGCAGCTTTAGGAGCTAGTGAAGGTTATATTTAAGTTTACTGTTAAATACTGTGTAGGAAACTATGTTGGTCTTTCAGAATTTTCTTGTTTCACAGATCAAATAAGTGTATAAGCATCCAATACTGAAGCTCAGTAAGAGAATCTTAATAAAGTTTGCAAATTTAACTGCAGTCTGTCAGCTCCATTTCCTTGCAAACTCTCCCATTTGTCCCTCTGTCCCTCAAAGAAGAAAGAAAACCAACACAAGACCCTGAACAACATGCACCAGATAATTGCTTGTATCATTTGAACTTATCTCTTCTCCAAGCTGTGTAAATCCTGAATTCCATAAATGAAAAAAAAAAAAAAATCACTTCCCTTTGTAGACCCTCTCTCAGAACTGGGCAGGACGTAGAATTGTGGATAAATAGCAGGTTTACATATGTTATTTTATTGTTCCTTTCCAGATTAAATAGTTTATAAATAAATTTGGATCTGATGTGCCAGTTTAGTGCAGTGTACAAATTTGAAAAGAAAACAATTGCATCATTTCTCTTTCTGGACGCTGAACTTCATTGGTTTCCATTCTTTCAGCATGAAGATTGTGGATTGGCTGTTTCTCCATAAAGTAATTTTTTTGCCAGTTCTGTACTGTTTACATGAAAGTTTTTTCCTGTCTCAGCTGGCTGGGCAAAAAAATGTAACAAAAGAAAATGGAAAACATTTTCACTGGATATAGTTGGGAGCGGGAATTTCAGTGTAATCCTTTGCTTCTCTCTGAATAATAAAAAAAAACAGTTTATCTTCTTAAAAGTTGCATCAAAATGCATTATTTTATTGTTTTAAATCAGCTGTCCTCTACTTGTGTTCTCTGGTGATGTACCATTTTGCTGTTTATTGATTGATGTTTTTCTTGCTTAATGCTGTTGCAGGAATTTTTTGATCCCTTTAAAGTCCTTCAAAGCTAATACTTGCACTGGACTTTTGTCTATTTTACCATTAGCCGTGATCATCTTTAGTCAAAAGAACTGTGTCAGAAATTCACGACAGCTACCTTGCAAAGGGTTTTTATAACCAGACTGAACACTAGTATGGGCTCCAAAAGAGGCGAGCACGGTTGCTTAACTGCTTGGTTTTGGTTTTAATGCTATTTTTCCTTACTGAGTTGAAGTTAATCTTATACATATTACTGACATACATATTTTTTGTATTTTTTTTTTCAATTCTGTAGAATTCTTTGGAATACGGACAATCTTAGGAGGTGTAATTTAAAGACATTAATAATTTCCTTATCCTGTTTCTGAATTTAGACTTTGTTTATGATTTTAATCCTCAATTCATTAAGCCCATTTCTAAAAGAGCAAACTCTGCATGAGATCCAAACTTAGCTTTACACCTGTGTGCTTTTCTGTTACTCATATTTCATCCAGATGCTTCCTTCACATTAGAAAAATACAAAGGAATCTATTGTTGAGAGACTTTGTAGGCTCCATATGCACTTATAAAGGTTTTGAGAGGTTTAGAAAATAGAATGCAGTGTTTGAGAATCAGGAATCTGATTTGCATTAACAAACTTTCTAGTCATACTTATTTGTCTCTTTTCATAACTGCTGATACTAGTAGTCCACAAGAATAATTCCCACTGTTTAGTTGGAGTGGGATTTTAAGATTAATTTAGGAGAAAGGTGAGTATTTGGAGAGAGAAATTACAGTAGTTTTTATTTTACTGCCTTTTTTTCATGGATTTAGCACAATTTCCACTGAGATACAAACTATTTACCAAACAGTTGCTAAATAAATCTCCCAGTGAGACATGGATGAAACTCTATAACACTAATGTCTCGATTCACATCAATGAGACGTGTGGTGTGCTGACCATCTGTTATATAAACCTGAATAGGATCTGAAATCCTTACACCAAAGACCTGATTTTTTTATGCCATCGCTTTTATGAAGGTGTGCCATAAAAATGGCCATGTGCTGGCAACCTGTGCAACTGGACCTTTTTAAATCTGTGTAAAAGTGATGACATTCCAAGCATCTCAGCATCTCTTAAAATTAAAACAGCTAATTGCATTAAAGTCTCTGTGTTGAAGAGATTATGCTCTTGCTTAGGGTTTGTTTTTCTCCCCTCCCCATCTGCAAGATCCCTAATGGGGTCCACATCTGTGAGAGCAACAGCGCGCACGACAGACTGCCTCGCGATTGGCAAGCCAACTGGAAGGAACACTGAGACCCACAAGGATTGCTGGACCCGGAGGGCTTTCAGCTTGTGAGAACAATGAGCTAATTAAAGTCTAAATAAATGGAATGCCCTTTTAGCTGAAGTAAAGATAAATAAATAAATGCTTGCATGTTGTTCCAGAGGACTGAATAAAGACAGAAATATTTGTGTCGTGTTTATCTAGTAACGTCTCTTTAATTGTGAAAGAGGGGCTGCCAGCAGACTTGGTGAATTTATGTCCAGTTCCTGATTTCTTTTTAGTCTGTTGTTTTAATAGGAGAGGTTCAACAAAGGTAATAAAAAGTATGTTTTTATATATTTTTCACTTATTATTTAAAGTTTAAAAAATCTTGGTGAGTATTTTTGACATGTCTTCTTAGCTGCTGCGTCCTTGTCACTGGCAAGTTCTGCCTCTGCTCCCATGCCAGTGCTTCGCAGGCAGATGACACTAAAGGAGCAGTATGCTTTTTTTGCAGACCAGTGGTATGGTATATGCTACTGATACATTGCTTCAGTTCTTCTTCAGTTCTTCTTCAGTTAACTAATAGCATCTTAGCCTTCCAATCCTTATATAGGATCAGTAAGAAAAGAAATAGGGCCACTTAAACGTCAGTATGAGATCAATTTTTTTTAAATTTCCTTTCAGCTTTTTTACAGGCCACTTTTTTTCAGTTTGTTAAATGAAACCTAGGTAAAATACATATTTAAGGAGTTATGCCTAGGACATATTTAGGATTAAATTTAATTTCAATCATGTGTAGACCATCAAGATTATTTGTATTTAAATTGAAGCCCTTGCTAAAGCGCTTTGTTAACATGGGCCCTTGAAGGTGTCTATTTTTGGAAGGACTGAGCAGCTTCTGTTTCAGCTAAACCTTGTTTTAAGGTCCTTGAAAAATTAGGTCCTCAAATAGAAATTTGAGTCTCTCTAGGCCTACATTCTGAAAAGACGGGGCCACCAAGTTAGGTCTTGATTTTCCCATCTCCCATACTCACAGATGAAAGCAAGGGGTGCAAAACTCTGTAAAGAGACTATCAGGCTGCTAAAGAAAGCTGCAATGGTGTGCAGTCAGTGGCTTTGACCTAACATATACTGAGAAGTGCAATCTCACTATTTAAAAAGCAAAAAATTTAAAAAGTAGCTGTTTAGTAATCTTTTGAAAATCTAGCATTAATCTTTTTGTGTTTATACCCCTCAAATGTCGTAATGATTAATTCCTGATTTTAGAAGTAACAAATATTAAACATAATTAAATGGTAATTCCTTTAAGAAAATACTGTGGAGAGATAAAATAAGTATGAAATTGGATGCCTGGTCTAGGAAAACAAACAAACACAGTCGAATGAGTAGAGAAAACATGTTTTTCTGCTTATTTTACAAGCAGGACTGTAAAGGAAACAATTCTCCCATTACATGTGTATAAAAATAGTGTTTGAGAGTGACTTGTCCAGACATGAGAACTCCTAGCATTTTTCTATTACCTTCATCCACATCTGCTCATTTGTTCAAAAATGAACCAGAGGTAAGTTTTTACTGAGGCGTCCTGGAAAGTTTAGCACAGGAATAGCACATACACAAACACATCCTAACCATTAAACAAGGGCAGGAATATCTTAGCAAACTGCATAAAATCAGT